CAATATGGACCTCAGAGCTTCTGCCTAGGATCTACAAAACTCAAAGTAATACCCAAGAGGTGTTAGACGAATCTCACCCTAATTTGTAGCAAATCTTTATTGTACAAATCAGACATTAGGTTAAGTGTCTGTTGAAAATGCTATCAGCTCAGTAGTCCTCTTTTTTGCCTGTGGACTGCATCTAATTCCTGGATGGTCATTTGGCTGGCAGCAAATCTGGATTGTTCCTTCCCTGTCCCAGAACAGTTATGGTGCCTTTTGGTTGGGAAATGGCCACTTGCATCTGAAGTTTCTCAGGAAATTACCTTAACGTTAGATTATAATTAATATACACATTTTCACATGCCCCTATGGTCATCTAAAAATGTTCATGTATCTGCAAAAATTATGTAAGAGGCAGATAGATAAAGCAGTTACTACATTTTAGTAGGGATGCACCTTAACCGGTATCGGTGATGATACCGAGCATTTTCACGAATACTCATATTTGTGAAAATAATCTTGATACCGGAAACTGATACTTCGCGGTGAGATTTGCACCAATACAAATTGCACCGCAAAGATTAGCATGCGATTTGAACAGGAATGTGATGATGCTAACCAATCAAAATCCCTCTAGCCTGCACTATCATCACTGCAAGGAGAGATTTCACCACTTTCTCTCCTTTCCAGAGAATATGGAGCAACTGCCTAGTATACATCCCCACTCTACGCTGCAGGAAACCTTCCTGCACCACTACTGTGTGAACTCAGGCTATGGCAACCTGGGTTAACACAGGGAAACTGCATGCGACTTGGACAGGAATTGAATTCCTGTTCAAATCGCATGCTAATTTTGGTGGTGCAATTTGCCTCCATACATTTTGTATGGACACAAATCACATTGCAAAGTATCAGTAATCTGTTTTGGCGGGTACTTGATCAAAAGTATGTACTCGCTGATAAAAGAATGGTATTGATGCATCCCTACTTTTTAGGTATGTTTGCTTCCATGCAAACTAGACAGTGAAAATATTTCATAGGTTGATTTAAAGTGTACTCCAGCGCTAAAATGTATTTTTACTATACTGATATTTGGTGGCAATTACAAAATAGCAAAAACCAGTGAACAGAAATTGGATAGAAATTGGATAGATTGTTCATCTACCATCTCTTGGACAATATTGCTGCAAGATATTATTCTCTCAATGGTCAAGTAAGCTCTATATAACTTGTCAGAATCATATGTACATTATATATGTCATTATCTGAGATGAAAGGACCATACAGTACAAATAAGCTTAAAGTGATATTTAAGGCATTTTTTTCTTTTAATAAGAAACATGTCATACTTACCTGCTCTGTGTAATGATTTTTCCCAATCTTTCTCTTCTTGGGTCCCCCACTGGTGCTCCTGACCCCTCCCTCCTGCAGAGTGCCCCCAGAGCAAGCAGCTTGCTATGAGGGCACCCAAGCAGGCATACTCCCAAGCTGCTGTTCTGTGTGTCCATTCACACACAGAGTCAAGGCTCAGCCCAGGCCTCTCTCTCTCCTCATTGGCTTACTGAATGTGGTTTACAGCAGCGGGAGCCAATGGAAAGCAGAATGAATCAAATACAGGGTAATTTAAAGCTCAACCCTAGCAAAATCCTTTATTTGTCAAATTTGGAAAGGTTTGGGTCCTCTATATGTTTTAAACAAGTGTGAGGAAGGTTTAGAACCTATGTCAAGTTTTTAATTTCCACCTGTGATCGCCTCACTTCCTGTTTAGGGACCAGAATAGGAAGTATGGCAAAATCTTCCCAACAAGAACACAGGGCAAACATATAACAGTGGTTAAAACCCTTCCCTGACCTGTCCAAAACAGATACAAAACTATACAAAAAGAAGTGCAACGCTAAATACTCCAATATAAGTGTATGTTCTCCGAATCATGTGGGTAATAAAAGAAACACAATAAGACAATGTAAAAATGTCAAATAAATGTCAAAATAAATAAATAAATAGTGACAGTTCGTGATAAGTGATCTAAGCAGGAGTTGCTAGTGACTTCCCGATCTTGTGGTCTGGTGACAAATAGTGAAAATACGCACTCACCAGATGCGTATTTTCAATACGCATGTCATGCATAAACCAGAGGTCCCCCTCATAGAATGGGATGGACGGGCTGGGCCGTCTTTAGTGGACTCTTCTTCCTCTGGGTGTAGAGCAGCCAAACTGTTGTCTCCCTCTAGGAAATGGACAGGGTACTAGCCGGCCTACATCAGTGCGTGTTTCATCCTTAGGGTGGTGTCATATGTCACAGACTCCTGATGCTTGGGCTCTAGAACGGATGTAAGGCTCACCAGGGAGCTATGCTGAGTCCTAGAAGCAGTAACAACACCCCGGAGTGAGGCCACATGATGACATCAGAGGTCCCCCGATCTAAGGTTACGGGGTCCGCACTTCACCCGGCTCACCGAACACAGATGCGGTAGATACAAAACTGTTTGGGCTGCATTTCAGCTTTAACGTTAAATCATATACCCAAATAAATATTTTCTCATATAAACCACATTTTTGCCCCTCCTCCTTGACTGTATGGAATAAATGATTAATCCAGTTGACATACCATAACAGCATTACTTGTCATTAAGCCATGTCAGATGAGTAAAATTGTGGTGGCAGAACCAGAATTTCTTTGTGTTGGGTCACAGTGTTATTAGAAGCAGGTGGGGACTGCAGCAATGAGTGCCCTGCCAAAACAGTTGTATCACTTTAGAGTGTTACCCTTTAAAATTACCTTGAAATCATATTGATCAGGCATCTCCTTTGAACAGAGTTCTATGGTAGGAAAAACCTAGACTTAAGCCATCTGAATACATACATTGTAAAGATTTCCTCAGCAGACAAGACAGTCAAGCCTTAAGACCTTTAATACATTCACATATGGACCAAACCTGTGAACACTTCAAAGCTGTATTACATTACTAACTATTGACATACTTTTATATCTATGATAGATTTACACACCCCAGGATTAATTTAAATCAAAGTACAAAGTTGTTGAATATTTTATTCAAAGCTGATTTAAAATATACAGCTAGGCAGTAAATTTCCTGTCTTTGTACCATCCTTTTCAACTAATAAAATGTGTGATGAGTATATTAGATTGACCTGGATAATGTATAGATTTTCTGGGTACTCTCAGATTAATGGATTTTTTAAATATTTCTTTAGTTAGTTGTATATGTCTGGTCTGGTTCTGATTTTACTATACGAAGGCTCCTTTTACTATGAATTGTGGTTAACGGGGTATATTATGTGTGGTATGTGCTTACTTGTGGTTTTACACAAACACACACACATACACATACTTTCTTTCAAGAAACATGGTGAGTCTACAAATCGTTGCCATCTGCTCCTATTCTTGGCCAGCAGGTTTATCTCTCTCTAGGTTCCTTTGTGCTTACTCCAACTATGGCCCCTTCAGTGTAAGTTTGGGCTTACGCTTTCTTCAGCTACCTTAAAGGTTTAATTTAAAAATAAATAGTGGTTATCCATGCCATTCCCATTTCTGCTATATGCCTTGTTCTCAGCAGTAGCGTTTCATTGGTAGATGTGTTTCGACAATACCAAGCATAATTCTGCATAAGGAGAAGTTTGTAAAAAGTTGTATTGCTTGTTGAAGTTTCCACTTTCCACTTAGCTACAACATATGTGTACACTGGATGGTGCCAAATACTAATTTATTTATAAAGTAGTTATTTGTACATTAGGGAAAAGAAGATAGCAATTTCTTAGAACACTCAATTAGACACAAGTGATTTTTTTCAATTTCCCTTCATTCAAAACTTGTTTTCAGAAGAGTGGACTAGGATCAGAACTTTTGTCAAGTTTTGTCACTAGGACAGGAAGACACAGACTAATAAAAACATATAACTACCCCACATCCAACTGCTATCTAGATCTTGCAGGCTCCACCTCTGCAACATCTCCAAGATACGCACATTCCTCACCCCAGACACCACCAAACAACTCGTACACTCCCTCATCATCTCACGCCTGGACTATTGCAACTCCCTTCTCACTGGCCTACCCAAACGAACGCTATCCCCACTCCAGTCGATCCTACACTCAGCGGCCAGACTCATCCACCTCACTAAGCGCTCCACATCTGCCTCCCCCCTCTGCCAATCCCTTCATTGGCTCCCGATTGCCCAACGCATCAAGTTCAAGCTGCTAACCCTGACCTACAAGGCCACTCACAATGCCGCCCCGAACTACATAACTGACCTGATACCCAGATACTACCCTACCCGTGCCCTCCGCACCTCACAGGACCTCCTGCTCTCTAGCTCCCTGGTCTCCTCCTCCCATGCCCGATTGCAGGACTTCTCTAGGACCTCCCCCATCCTCTGGAACTCCCTACCCCAATCCATCAGAATGTCGCCTACCCTCCTCACCTTCAGGCGCACCCTGAAAACCCTCCTCTTCAGGGAAGCCTACCCCAACCTCACCTAACACCCAACCTCACCTAACAATTAACCTTCTCCACTCCACCCACCTCTCCATCCCCCACAGCCATCTCCTCCTGTGCCACCTTCCCCTCCCTCCTAGATTGTAAGCTTGAAAGAGCAGGGCCCTCGAACCCCTCGTGTAGTGTATTGTTACTGTCTTGTCTCATGTTATGTCCCCCTGCTACTGTACAGCGCTGAGCATACCCTTTGGCGCTATATAAATACTGTATAATAATAATAATAATATATTCTAACCCCTCCTTATGCTACTAAATTAATCTGCTTTCATGTGACTGCCTGTCATTGTAACACCCAACGGAACACAAACAGGCATAAAAATGTGAAAGTTTCCAACCTTTCCATCCTCTCTACAGAAATAAAAACGTTTAGGTGGATTTGGACTTTTTTGTTGGCTTGGTTGGAGCTAATGCACATTTTCTAGTCCAAGAGGATATGTCCAACTCCATAAAAAGCATAAAACTAAACCCCTTTTGTTTGATAATTTATGTTTTTTTTTTTTAGATCCTCTTATGGGGCTTTACCATATACAATGGCATCCTGAATCATGTACACATAATGAAACCAAAGGACCAGAGAAAGCAATAACTCAAGTAAGTAATATGTAGTGTGATATACAGTGGATGACAAAGAAGGGCTTTAGGGAAAATTAGTTATCGTTATACTTACACAACAATTACATGCTTTCATAATTATCTAAAATTTAAATGATTTCAAATGTGCCTCCTTCTTTCTTTTATTCAGACATTTTCGAAGAGGTCTGCTTAGTCAAGGTTTACTTAAACTGGAGAGTGTGAAATCTGGTGCATCTGTGTGTGGTAGCCAATCAGCTTCTAACTTCAGCTTGTTCAACTAAGCTTTAACGAAAAAAAAATCTGGAAACTAACTGGTTTCTATGCAGAGCTGCACCAGATTTTGCACCAATTTTAGTAAATCAACCCCATACTATTTCACAATGTCTGAAAATGAATATAGTCCTGAACACTGCTCACTTCTAGAATGGGATGAAAGCCAGAACCATCATACCACAACTGTGCCCTGGTTTGTAATATCTAAGTGGTGTTGTGCAGCTAGCATCTTTCCTGTTTTCTTCCTGAGCAGCCTTAGATATACTGTACATAGTGCTTCCTCCATTTGCACTGGAAGTGAAGGTGTGTTTGCTGCCTAACAAATTATAAGCTATAAGATAGTTCAAGGTATCACAAAGGATAATCTATCTATCTATCTATCTATCTATCTATCTATCTATCTATCTATTGTTCTGAAATGAGGAAAAAGTCCTCTTAGTTTTGGGAAAGAATGACACATGTAAATCCTCATTGCTCTGACAAGGCATACTGTGGTGTCCACTGTTTCATTTGAATGGCTTTTTAATTCCTTAAATGCTTCTCACCATAACCTTTACAGTTATTCTTTCTTATAGGTCCCCAAGACCTACTCCATAGAGCAATCGTTTGCATGCACTGCACTGGTGATGGCCAACAAGCCTGAAACAGCTTTATGCAGCTTGGAATAAGCGGCTTTATAATATTAGGTCATATCTCTACTATACACCAGAAGTTAATTTGCTCATTGGGTCATAAATTAATAATTGTCATGGCTCACCCAGTTCCTAAAATGAGGAATAATCCTCTTATATTTGGGATATGTGATGGAATGAGACGAGAGTATCACCTGTCTTAGGAAGGCTTTGCTGTGCTAGGAGCTGATTCAGTTTGATGACTTTTTGATACCTTTAAACCCTTCATACCATAAACCTATGATTATCTTATGTATCTATCTATCTATCTAGTTTGTATTTGGGCAGTATTCGGATGTGGGGTTCAAAAGCTATTATCACACAAAGGCTTTTTAATGACTTTGTCAATGGTTAAAATAAGTTAGGCTATTTGCTGTTTACAAAAGTTACTGTATTTTTAAACTGTTCTGGCTTACGATGTTAGATTATCCAGAAACATTGTGTTACAATTTACAGAATATGAAAATGGTGATGAATAACACTCCCTTATTTACATAACATTGTAGAGGAATTGATAGTGTATCCTAAACTGGCCTCTTATGCTGGCTCTAATACCCTAGTTGTTTTGCTTGGATGAACATTTACATTCATAATGTGCTATAGACCATCTTTCTTCACGTCATGGGAATTTTGCTCTCTATTTCAAGTTACTTTGATGCAGTGCAGTCCAGGTGATTCACAACGCATAGCTAAAGCTGCCAGCTTTTGGAGATCATTTTAGTAGCCACCCACATTGTAAACAGTCGCATAGTATGATATATTGATACAAAGTAAATATCTAGACTTCACAAACAATACAAGTTCAGTCAATGTGCTGGAATTGTGTTGTACATAGTATACTGAAACTACTTCATAACAGATTCTTAATCATATAAGAAGGATATAGCAGTCAGTGTACAAACTGAAACAAATGTTGAAATAAAGGTTGGGATACATTTAATTGGTTGAAATTAATTAAATTTAGCTACACATACAAAAGTTGCTGTTGCAGGAGTTTCTATGCTGGCAAAAAATAGATGTAAACCCTAACATTTATTTTGCAAAAGCATTGGGTGTCATAAACAAATGGCGTTTTTAGATAAAATATTTGCCTGGGTAAGGTGTGTTGCAAGGGCCACTTGTAGTATTCATCAGAAACCTTTGTGGAAGGGTGACAAAACAGGAGCACAAGCAGGAAGTACCTGAACAAGGATCTTCATGAAAAGATCCCAAGGTGCTATTAAGATGAAATTTGCAGATATAAACTGTTGGAAATTACTTTTGAAACTAAAATTAAATGTTAAAGCTCACGTAGAAGTTTAGTGTTTGGGTTTACAATCTAATTTTGCAAACATTCTTTACACTTTTAGTAAATCTAATTCATAGTCTGTTACTGCCATGTAGTCAGCGAGAACAGAGAACCCTTGTAGGACAAAAGCATTTAGCAAGAGAACAGACAATGCTTTTAAAAGAAAACTATCTAGCTTCTAGCTAGGAGTCCAAAAGCATGTCTGTTTTCAGCACAGCTTGTAACAATCAATCAAAAGCTATTTAGTGGTTAACAATAGTAAACTGAGAAACACTTATGATACCCAGAAGCATTCAAACATGTTGGAAAATGTCTACGTGACAGTAGGCCTTCTTTTTTTTTTTTAAATGGCCTTCTTTGTTTTAAAATAAAGCAAGACTTTCACTGTACGCATGCCAGTTCTGTTCATCCCAGAGTTTGAGAAAATCCCTTGCCAGGTCCCAGCATCTACAGTAGATGATATAAGGGAGAACAGGTAGATGGTGTACCTGTCACTATTAGCATCTGATGTGCCCAGCTGGTATTATTCTGGTTCAAGGGCACACATTATTTTAAAAAAAACAATAAAAAAAAAGCAGACCAAATAATACTTCACAATTTGGCCTTATCCAGAGCAGATCTTGATTCAAGAGGATTGATTTAGTTATTTTTAGCCTTATATATTAAACATATTTTCCTTGGTTAGAGTTATTCATTTATTAGTGTTATTCTCTTTTAAAGAGATCCTGCCACTAACTTTATTCATTTCAACAATAATCTTTCCATAAGATATGTACATGTATTTTATGCTTTTTTTCTTACCTGTTTCCTTTTAAAAAAAAAAAAAAATTCAAAAAGCGATGAAGATGCTGCTAGCCACTACTACCTTGCATGTGAAGTAATCAGTCCCAGCAGACTCAGAGCAGTCATTTCGGTGACACTCTGTATTATTCCTCCTTACTCATCCCTTGGAAGCTACATGAAACGTTGTGCAGCTAGTTGAAGAGAGGGATGGAAAAGCTTGACCACAGACAGTGATTACAAACTCTCAGAGGTGGTGGGGGCTGTTTTAGGCAGCTGATTTCGAATAAAGAAGTCAGATGTGCTTACGTGTTCAGATGTTCAAAGGTATACTGAATATTACAAAAAAATATGGAAAGGAAGATCTATAGGTTTATTATACTTAATTTTTTTGGTGCTTTTAGTTGTTATAAGTTGAGAACAGGATTTCTCCAAGTCTGTTAAAGCTCGTGAAATGCTAATTTTACGTGCACAATCATCAGCATTTCATCCATTACCTTTGTATTATCCCTATCATTTTTTTCTTATAGGACCACCACATAATACTACCAGCATTAATGTTTTCCTGCAAATACAAAGTTACAGTACAACCAGCCAGATCTAAAGGCCATCTAAAGGCTGAAAGTATTTTCTTCACAACTCCTCCCTGTTCAGCGTTGAAAGGCAAAAACCACAAACACATCAACTGTCCAACCAATGGAGGTAAGAATGATCTTGGCCATGTATCCTGGACCAAGCCAGCTTCTATAATTTACATTCTGTGTGTTGGCAAGCTGCTGTCTTTGGCTTACAAGTCATTATGTTTAATTAGGAGTTAGATCAATGAGCGGTATGTCATTGGTGTTCTAAAGTTGTTTTTGAGCTCTCTCCATGTTATATCTCAGGTGTGTGATTAACCAGGGTTCAGCTTGTACTTCATAAATCCAAATAATCACAGGCGCCCATTTAGTGCAGCATGTCTGAGTTTTCTCAGGACACTTCCAGATTTTACTACTGATAGTGTTTTAGAATGCTTATTTTCCTATAGTTCTGGCTCTGTATGTTCTAGCAATAAAAGGATCATTTGGAATAGGCTTTTGTTAGACACAAACAGTATGCAGGAATTAATCAATTCTGCACTCATTTACTAAAGCAAGGAGCAAAGGGCACCAACCAATAAGTTCTGATTAATCTGAAATAAGTTTGTTGGTTATTGCTTTGCATATCATCAGTCTTTGACCTGTTATATTATGTTGTATGTGCAGAAAAACTAAGCTTTTCATTTAATCATTTGCATCTCATTAGCAAAGCATAGGGTGTTTTTTGACTCCACACCACAAGTATAAAACTTTCCAAAAAATTTATTTTTAGATAGTATGAATTCAAATTATGCCATGTTCTACAGCTATCTACAGAGAACAATTAAAGCTTAACTTGAGGCATTTTATTTGCTACTTTAATTCCACAACCTGTATAAAAACAAAATTGTAATTCCTGCTGCAGTACTCACCTCCTCTCTGGTATTGTCCCCTATTGTCTTCACTGTCATTGTACAAGCACAGCACTATTAAACCCAGAAGACTGAGGACATATTGTAAGGTCAGGGAGATGTGGTTAAACCTACTGTTGAATTTGGCCAAATCATAAACTTACTTCTAAGTGAAAGATTCACTTGATCCCTACCTGCTATTGGACTGATAATTTCCCAGGAGTCTTCTACTGCCCCCAGGAGTTGTGATGTCACTCATAGACTCCCATTACCCAACCTTTGCTGGAACTCAACTATATACACTGCTCAAAAAAATTAAAGGAACACTTTTTAATCAGAATATAGCATCAAGTCAATTAAACTCCTGGGATGTTGATCTGGTCAGTTAAGTAGCAGAGTGGGGTATTAATCGCTTTCAGCTGCTTTGGTGTTTGGTGCACTAGATGGGCAACAATAAGATGACCCCTAAAACAGGAATGGTTTTACAGGTAGACTTTTTTTCCCTACTCATCTTTTCTGACAGTTTTTCACTAGTTTTGCATTTGGCTAGGGTCAGTGTCACTACTGGTAGCATGAGGCGACACCTGGACCCTACAGAGGTTGCACAGGCAGTCCAACTCCTCCAGGATAGCTCATCAATACGTACCATTGCCAGAAGGTTTGCTGTGTCTCCCAGCACAGTCTCAAGAGCATGGAGGGGATTCCAGGAGACAGGCAGTTACTCTAGCAGAGCTGGACAGGGCTGTAGAAGGTCCTTAACCCATCAACAGGACCAGTATCTGTTTCTTTGTGCAAAGAGAAATAAGATGAGCACTGCAAGAGCCCTATAAAATGATCTCAAGCAGACCACTGGTGTGAATGTCTCTGACCAAACAATCAGAAACAGACTTTATGAGGGTGGCCTGAGGGTCCAACGTCCTCTAGTGGGCCCTATGCACACTGCCCAGCATCATAGAGCTTGATTGGCAATTGCCAATGGACAGCAGAATTGGCAGGTCCGCCACTGGCGCCCAGTGCTTTTCACAGATGAGAGCAGGTTCACCCTGAGCACATGTGGCAGACGTGAAAGGGGAAGCAGTGAAGAATGTTATGCTACCTGTAACATCGTTCAGCATGACTGTTTTGGTGGTGGGCCTGAGGAGGCATATCCATGGCTGGACGCACAGACCTCTACAGGCTAGACAATGGCACCTTGACTGCCAATAGGTATCGGGATGAAATTCTTGGACTCATTGTCAGACCCAACTCTGGTGCACTGGGTCCTGGGTTCCTCCTGGTGCACAACAATACCCGGCCTCATGTGGCGAGAGTATGCAGACAGTTCCTGGAGGATAAAGGGATTGATACCATTGAATGGCCCCCATGCTCGCCTGACCTAAATCCAATAGAAGACCTCTAGGATATCATGTTTTGGTCCATCCAAAGCCGCTAGTTTGCACCTCAGACTGCCCAGAAGCTCAGTGATGCCTTGGTCCAGATCTGGAAATACCCCAGGACACCATCTGCAATTGTCAGGCATACATACAAGCATGCGAGGGCCATACAAATTCCTGAGTACCATTTTGAGTTGCTGCAAAGAAATTTCAGCAAAATGGACTAGCCTGCTGCATCATTTTTTTCACTTTGATTTTCATGGTGTCTTTGAATTCAGTCCTCTGTAGGTTGATAATTTTACTTTCCATCAAACGATGGGGCATCCTTATGTTCCTAACACATTACCCAGTCCATATCAGTATAGATATCCAGCATGATATTTCTCCCCCATTCAGATCAGATGTGTTCTTAAACTGTTCCTTTAATTTTTTTGAGCAGTGTATATACTATTGGCATTAAGAGTGCAATATATATATATTTATATATATAGGCATGCAGACTGCTGCTACAAACATTTGTGAAAGTATGGTTCACTCTCAGGATCTCAATGAATTCAAGCGTGGTACCATGATAGGTTGCCACCTGTGCAATAAGTCCAACCATGAAATTTCCTTGCTACTAAATATTCCAAGGTCAACTGTTAGTGGTGTTATAACAAAGTGGAAGCAACTGGGAACAACAGCAACTCAGCCACGAAGTGGTGGGCCATGTAAAATGATAGAGTGGGTCATTGCATGATGAAGCACACAGTGTGCAGAAGCTGCCCTCTTTCTGCAGAGTGAATACTTAAAGACCTCCATACCTCATGTGGCCTTCAGATTAGCATAACAAAAGTGCATAGAGAGCTTCATGGAATGGATTTCAATGGCCGAGCAGCTGCACCCAAGCCTTACATCACCAAGTGCAATGCAAGGTGTTGGATGCATGGATGCAGTGGTGTAAAGCACATCACCTCTGGACTCTAGAGCAGTGGATAGGTGTTCTCAGATGTGATGAATCATGCTTCTCTGTCTGGCAATCCAATGGGTGTGTCCGGGTTTGGTGGTGACTAGGAGAACGGTACTTGCCTGACTGCATTGTGCCAAGTGTAAAGTTTGGTGGAGGGGGATTATAGTGTGGGTTTTTTTTTTTCAGTGGTTGGGCTTGGCCCTTTAGTTCCAGTGAAGGGAACTCTTAAGGTATCAGCATACCAAGACATTTTGGAAAATTTCATGTTCCTAACTTTGCGGGAACAGTTTGGGGATGTCCCCTTCCTGTTCCAACGTGACTGCGCACCAGTGCACAAAGCAAGGTCCATAAAGAGATGGATGAGCGTGTTTGGGGTAGAGGAGCTTGACTTGCCTGCACATAGTCCTGACCTAAACCCGATAGAACACCTTTGGGATGAATTAGAACGGAGACCGCAAGCTAGGCCTTCTCGTCTGATATCAGTGCTTGACCTCACAAATTCGCTTCTAGAAGAATGGTCACACATTCCCATAGACACACTTCTAAACCTCGTTGACAGCCTTCCCAGAAGAGTTGAAGCTGTTATAGCTGCAAAGGGTGGACCAACTCAATATTGAACCCTACGGACTAAGACTGGGATGCCATTAAAGATCATGTACGTGTAAATGCAGGAGTCCCAATCCTTTTGGCAATATAGTATATACATATATATATATATATATATATATATATATATATATATATATATATATTTATACACTGTATATGCAGAGTATATAGTATTGGTATTGAGATAGTAAGCTAAGGTTAACAGAGGATATCTAAAGCATACACATTTTTTTCTGAGTAATTTTATTTCAATGTCTATGAAAAAAAACACCTGGCCATATCCAAAGTTGATTTTTGTATTACAAAATAAACTCATGTAACTTTGATGTTCTTGGAATGGATTCACATGTATCATAATGGAATGTAAACTCTTCAAGGTAGAGCTTTTTGGGTCAACCAAGTTACTTATATTGCAAAACATTTCCAATTGATGTTTTAAAACTTAAAGACTTAGAACAAATAGAGGCTTTCTTTGTGTGGAGAGAGGTGTTGAAGTTCAGTTAGCAGTCTTTCATACTCTGTTGCTTTTACAAAGATTTAGCATTGAAGTTTACTGTAATTCAGTGTGAAATGTTTGTGAAGTCTTGCCAGACATTGGTACAAGCTTTCATTGTTGGTGTATCTGCACTTATTCAACAGGCTAATTTAGGAAGAGTTAACTTATGTAAAAAAAATGGAAGAGCTTTCACATCGCTTTATGCCACAAAATAACCTCAGAAATGCAAATTAAACACAAAACAAAAATCATAGAACTTGTTGAAATAAAACAGTCCTTTATTTCAAATATTTATATGGATGCTAATGTCTATTGTGTTTTTTCTGTTCATACATTCCATTTCTAAATGACCTAGTTTTAAAATCATGTACCATTCTTTTTATCTAAAAGCTTTTGTGAGCACCAGTTTCTCTATATTAAACCTGTAATGGTGTACCTGTACTGAAACCTTCATTCCTGAAGTGCTGCTGCAGACAAGAAGTGAAGATATAAGCCTTTGGGGAACTGGAAGTGAGAAAAAAAAAAAAAAAAACTCAAGCCGCAAAGCACCTGGTGTCCAAGGCTGGCCCTTTTGTGGCCTAGGATTAGTGTTAGGTTTAGCGTTAGTGCTAGGGCTACTGGTGTTGGAACTAATACTTTCAGGCTGCTTATACCGGCTTCTGGAGCAGATGCTGTTTATCTTAGGCAACTGAGATATCTTTCAAGATCGCTCTACCTGTATCAGAACAGTGTCTGTTTCTATTCTACAGCATTTGCCAAACTGATGAAGTGAACCCTTTGTACCCCTAAAAGTGCTGGATTTTATTG